TGAAATAGGATAATGTGATGATCATTTAACTTTGTGTCTTTTAACATGGGGGCCTTAGCATGTCTGTTTAATCATTTCGTGACAGGCTTTTACTACTTTCTAGAACAACCACGTCTTTTTAATATGAGACCGTAGAAAGGAACCTTCGTTAAAAGTTATTAAAAATCGGATGGCCGTTAAATATATTAAGTCACTATACCACAAGGCATTTTAGGGTAATAACATTGACTTATAGAATGATTAATTGTCCTACAATGACAAAAGTTTCACTTGGATTTCTTCTAGGTTCCTTGTGAGTGGGATGTAATCCTAAAACTGGCCACACAGGATCGTCTTCTCCAGCACTAGGTTACTACCTAAAATCCCTAACAACAATGTCATTTGGTAAAAATTCCTTAATTTTTTTTAACAAGGGTGTTGGATTATTAAGAATGCTCAATGCATTCGCCATTGCACTTGGTTTGTCCGTGGCCGAAATGGACTCTGAACAGCATATCCTTTGCAGAAGGTTGAACAATTGACTCGTTAGGATAATTCTTGTGCCTCATTGCAAAGCAAATTTCATTTTACAACACCAAACAAACTACTTCCACATAACACCCTGTTGAGGGAGGGCTAATAACACTCTCATTTCTCGAAGATTAAAAATAGTAATGCGAGCAAACCTGACCAGTATCACCAATACCCAAGTAACGTTAAAAAAACACCCCATTTCGTGTAGACTTGCAATAATGTCATGTTAGTGTGCAATTCACAGACTGATCAGTAAAATTTGTTGCAAATTCAAAGTTAGTTCCAAGCTCGGGGGCTTTTAAATGGGTTTGTTTTACCTTAGAGCAATTCACCAATGATCACGATAGCATTTGATTAGCTTAAATGTGTCATCGCCATATATGAGTTTTAATGCACAGCAGCTGAGAATATGAATTATTGATTATTCATTTTGGTGACACTTGTCTTATTTAACCAGCCCTAAAATGATCTTGAGCAATATTCAAAGCTTTTAGATGTTTGCAAGTAATTCATTTTGAGAGTACAAAGTGTGCCGTGGAGACAGAACCAAAACAGGTCAACAAGGTTGTTACATTGTCAGCATTTTTTTGCATTGACTGTGATCGTGAGCCTAACTTAGTTGTAGTTAAAATGAACTGTCTTGCTCTAACGTAACTTTACTAAGTCTAACGGAGTGTTAGTACGACTGTAGCTATGTACAGGGAGGTATGGTATAGGTTAAGTCGAAGGCTTTATCTTCCACATCCTCCACTAAAACCCGAGGCAACTTATTTTTTAAGTAATTTGGTAAAACCAACCAGCCTTATTTAAGTGGAGACATGGATTATGGAATTTGCATGCATTGTGCCCGTATAACTTCCCTCAAGCACTGGCTATTACACCATCATTTAATAAAGAGGAGACCAAAGTTCATTATTTACTCTTTTTCGCAAGACAGTAAGCCCGATTAGTCACTTCTGCGCTTTTTATGTGCATCAATTTACAAGATCGATCGGTCATTTAGTTTCCTGTGGGGACCGAGAATTCGCACCCACAATGACAATCATCGTGATCATCGTCGAGGCTTTATTAATCTCCTCAACTCCTGCTCTTTATTCCGATTCTCATTGCTGTCATCTTCAGAGAAAAGACTCCCATTCACTTACAAACCTCAGATTCGTGCATATTCATTTGAATGTTAACCACATACTGCGGTCGAACCCTAACCATCTGTTGTTTTCTCACTTTTTGGGTCATTCCGTGTCCATTCGGATAGCTGGTCTCGGTTTAGGCTTCTGCAATTTTAAGGAATTTACAACAAAAAATGTAACTTCGGACTAAGAGTGTGTTCAGGATTCCTAGAGTACACAAAAGTATATAACTTGAAGTAATCGTCATTCGAATTACGCTTTGAGGGACAGAACTGAATAAGAACCCTGGCAATCGCATGTTTCAGTTCAGTCACTCATTGATTCTCAAAATGTTTTGCTTCTAGGTTTGTTAAATGGCAGAGGATGCTCGCTTCTCACAACACCTGTAACCTGGTGTAGTCCTTTCACTGTCCCGAATTAACTAGAACAAAGCCTAGATAGAAGCCACAATTATTAGCCATCCTTAAAATATTCCCTTTTCCACAAACCTCAGAACGCTTTCCGAATTACTATCTCCCTTGGAAGAGTGTAATGACCTCTATTAAGCTCCCCAAAGCCGTGCTTGTCATTTCATGTGTGGGGCAATTTGTTCCAATGAATCGGGGTGGCCAGCACAAATGGCGATAAGGGAGGAGGAAGGACTGAATGGAAGGTATCGCATAACACTGCTGCCTGACCTTTCTACTGGCATTTTCGGTTCTCGTGCGAGCAATCCGCCCCACCCCCACCCCGCAGATCTTCCCACGCCTGGGTTGTGGTTATGATGGAGACAGGAGGGGAGGAACAGGCGCATTCACCGGCTGCTTCTGCGCCCGGGAAAATGCCACTAGACGATTGCAGGAGGAATAATTACCATCGGCGAACCGAGCGCTTGTGAAGGCATCCGTTATCGGCTGCGTGATCACTGACAGCGGGAACGTGAAATAACATTTAGGCAATTGAAATTATGCGCATTGATGTAGTTTATGCTCATTTTCGCGCATATTACCTACTACCGTGTAGGGAGGAATTGCGTGACCGTGTTAATGCAAAACGCAGACACGAATTCGCTGGCCTACACGAGCTGAGGTAACCTATGGTAAAAACGTACATGCCGTTAACCACCAAAAAAAGCATTTTTCCATTATAGATTATTTATAATCCTTGGTTGAAGATTACCTTTTTACCATTTATGGCTTCTGTGTGTTTGCAAATCACACATTGTGTTCACATTAGAAAAGTCTTTCCCTGTCCAATAAACAATCAAAATAGTGCATAGGATTCAAATGCAAGTACAATACACTGACGGTTGCACCCCAACAGCCTTTATCATTGTTCTCTTGTGTAACTAAAAATGTCACTTCTTTCATCACAAGGAGCCGCTTTCGGTGTGACGCGAAGGAATTAACTGTTCAATTGTGGGTTGGAGGTGGAGTCGACAAACGTGTTTTTCCAAACAACATAAGCATTATTTAAGAAGGAGCTTTTAAGGGCTACCCTTGAGTATTCCTTCTAATCTTGACTAAATGCAAGGATTTGTCGAATTTGTTTACTTCCACAGACACCTGAATGAAGTCGCTGCTTATTAACACTGAAGTGAAATGGTGATTGGGATCTTCCACTTCGGAATAATTTGAAGAGTTCCAATGTTGCCTATCAAATGAGATAAAGTGCCTTTGCACACAGGTGCTAAGAATTGTGAGAGAAAAAAGTTTTAATCCTGCGAGGCAACTTGGGGAAAAGGCACTCCACTTAACCAACCCGGGTTATGCCACATTTTTAAATTGTTAGTTTTAGAACATCGTTTCAATGCGCTGTTTAATTTTTACATTTTAATACAATTCAGCTTATTTTACAGTCCTTAGGAACTAATGACTTCACTTTTAAACTAAGCATATTCCACCTCAATTCACACTCACGTTTAGGACTTGAGGTGATGCCTTTCTAGCTTAAAATAAGAGAGGCTGCAGCACCCCAGATGGATAGGCAAATTTTCACGGACGCTCTTAAATGGAAAATAATGTATTACCATTGAAGGCGGTATGGCGAACAATGGTCAACGTTTTAACGCATATTTGGCTACACTGCAAGGAAAATCTTGAGTTTCAAACATTTACCTTTCTCTACACGAACAAATTTCTAATAACGTCTACTCAAAATACATGAAGTGGCCTTGGAAGACGTTTCACGGCCACGTAGAAAACATCTCAAGTGGCATGAATCAACTGATTTTATTTACCATGTCGGTCGTTTAAACGTAAATTCCGTGTAATTTGAATAATCACAAATGTCGAAAATACTTTATCGAGGGCATTCCTGTTCTTTGAATTAGCCCAAATTTTTTTATTCAAGGGCTACATCATGTCGTTAATAGTTTTCGTTGAACAACCACACCGAGTTACTCCTGGACGAAATTGGCCACAGAAGTTATGTTTGTAGTGCGGGTCATCACACAGTCAGTTCATTCAAATAAAACTACTGGCTGGTCGTAAGTAGAGGCATTTTGGTAGGTTTGGCTTTCCAATGAATTTGCAGCAAAGACCAACATCTTCGACAGCCAATACAACCGTGTTCGCCGTTTTTCAACTATCAGCATTCCCGGAGCAACCTTTAGGCGTCATTTTTATCTAAATTTGAGTACGGATTCTGAAATGGTGAACACACTTAGCACAACCCACCGGCGCCGTTATTTTCCTACAGATCCCGTTTACAAAAACCTCAGAAAGCTTACAAAACTACGCACCACGTGGTCAATGGCCTGGATGCTTTGACACCAGTCTCCCTTCACCGACTAGGACGATGGCATCGCCACACAAAATACCACCGGGTTTTTTTTTCAGAAAAGGATTTTCCCACCTTTAAGCTATTGACTCCGTTTCCTTCGAAAACGCAACCTGCCCGACTTTTCTCAATTGACCGTGTCTGTTGTAGCGACCGAGGTCCCAGCACAACCAGCAGCGAGGAGGCAGGGGACTCTTCGTGACCGCGGCAACTCCCCCATTTCAACTGAACTCGTCATCTGGACAAGTTAACTTCTCACTAGACGTGGTTGGCCTGGCAGTCATATGCTCCGGTGAAGAAAACACGGTAAATAACAACTTTTAGCAACAAATCATTTCCATGAGGGCTAGCAAGGTCATTTTATGTTAGCAATTTACAAGTTAGAAGGAATATCAAAATATCCCCATAACTAAAATGTTTTATTACACTACACAATATATTGGTTCTACTTTAATAATTAACACTTTAGTTTGCTTATTTCAAGAGCGTGGGACACTTAATAAAATCTACCTCTCGGGCCTAAATATACTAATACACAAACCCACTTCGCAGAGCGCACAAAATGACAGGTATCACGTGAGGTCTACTCCGAGGCATTTAGTAGGGAGTTTGTTTAATCAAGAGCTGCTCGCTTTCGTGAGCAAAATAACACAAAGAAGGGGGGTAGGGACAGCCATCGGGATGGTTCGCCTCCATCCAACAGCGCTTCGTCTTTCGTGGCTTGTCGCTCTTCACGCTGTCAATCTGATGCTGGCGCGACGGATCAAAGCGTAGGCGTATTCCGGCCCCAGTCACTACAATTGGAACGAAATTCATGCTGTAACGATGCTGGCTGATTTCAATTAGATAATTTAAAACCGGGTCAAGCGTATCTACAATAGCGCACACGATAACCCCATGGTAAGAACATCTGATGAAGGTAACTCCACACTGCGCAGTCCACCACTTCAAGGCACTAGAGTAGTAGCGCGAGGGAGGGACAGCATGTTGCCAGTCTCAACCCATCCATTTGGGGAATTGTAGCGGAGCCACCGTGATCTATTGCCAATGTGCAGAAGCGCCCGACAAACCGCTATTAACCGATAAGTGGACCAAAACCTGAGCTGTCAGAGATCCCATGATCGTAATATACAGGACCAATTCTCGAACACTGGATCAGAACGTCTGCGAATAGGCAAATATGTAAAAAAGTACCAGATTAGGCAGATAAGGAACCGCACAAAAGTAAAACGGCGCACCGAAACCGACACACACCATCCTCCTCGTGTAGCAATTACTAGATTCCTTCAACCAATTGCCCAATCACCTGTGTTACATCTCCATGACCTTCTACGCCAAACCATGTCGGTTTTTTAAAGTTTCCAAACAGCAATTTTCCCGAAAGTTAAAAGTGATTTCTACTTACGAACCAACGAAACGTGTCCACTAATGCAGGCTAAGCCTTCAACACTTGTGAACTTACCCATGAAAGTCTGATGTTGGCTGCGAAGAACAGCCTGAAGCCCGCCTTTAAAAAGCTTCATTTTGGCCAGGAGAGTTGGGTCTATCATTTGACTAGCTTCTTTTAAGCTGAGGCAGCCTAAAACATAGTAACAACAGTAATTACAGTCTTGTGAACATCAAATTTCAAGTAATCTCAGGTGGCTACCACATACTGTCGACAGTTTGGCAAGTATTTTAACACAACCAAGTCGCACAGTTTGTGGCCAAAGAGTGGGCACAACTTGGAAATTGGACATTGCCCAATAAAGGGTCGGAATAGTAACCAAAATAGGTTTGCAAACAATTGTTGAAACACGATACATCAGTGGGACGGTTAAATCTGAATAAAGGAATCATTTTAAATGTTGAGCCTATGATTACGGATAATACAAGCCAGTGACTTTACTTCACGCACATTTGTATCACATTTTGGCGCCGTGACTGGAGGTACACACTGAAGCTCCATAGTTTAATACAAAGGCACTAAAAGCACCACTGTATACCTCCAGGATTCCATCGACGTCCATCGTAAGTTTGTATTACTTCACTTGGAGGACAGAGTTGAAGCAACCTCTTAAACACCTTCATTCCGATAATTTCCCTCTCCTCTGCGGAGAGGCAGCCTACACTTTGGCCTGCGTCGCGTTCCCTTGGTTTGAATTGGGTTCCACATTCCGATAGTACCATGGCTTCAACATTCTCTTTCCTTTTCTCCCAACCAATAGTCGTCTCTCTAAGTTCACGTCCGATGATGCAAAGCTACGGGAGTAGTTAGGCAAACATGTCTTACGCGTTTAGTCGATGGAATACGCAAAATGTCAACCTCGGGAACAAATCCACAGGTTTCGAAACTACCCTGCAGGTACGCCACATACTCACGGTAGCGGCCGCGCCAAAATCCCTCCTCCGAACCCACATCAGGAATTTCATGATGTCTATGCTTCCCAGCGTCAAACTTGTGGAAAAGGCTGAAAGGGCAGCAGGGGATCACAAAGGCACAACAATGATGGTTGGAGCGAGTGGCTAGAACTGGGAGCCATGGTGTAAGTTCGTCACTATGGTTGCCGATCAACCAAGTGGCTTCAGGGAAACCCGGATGAGTTTGGGGATTAAGTGTTTTCTCCTGAAAAGACGAAAAAGTAAAACCAATATGTAATAAGTTGTTTATGCAGTATTTCTACCTCGAACTAAACCCAGACACATGAAAGGTAATGGTTGATGCACGTTTATCACATGTTGACTAGTCGGTGGAGTACTGCTGGTCAATTTTTAAATATCAAAAAGGGCTCATTTTTGACATTCTTGCTATAAAGGCACACACGCACTCTCAATTAGATTTCTTAAATAACTTTAATTATTTGTTTGGCGAAAACCTGATCTCTAAGATAAATTTCCTCATCGCCAAAGCATAAATGTGTTAATCGACTGGCAGCCAGGTAAAAAAGAAAGACTAATTCAAAAAGTAAGACCCGTAGCACTTTTGAATAGACCGAAGCATAGCATTCAAACTAAAAACTCAAACTCACGATCAGGTTCTTTTTCACCGCATCAGGAAACTGATCCCAAATTGACCTTTTCCGAACATCGATCCCAATACCTTCGTACTATTAACGTGAGTTGTGTAATAACGGACTCACTCCCTCGGATATCAAGAGAAAGACGAGCAGGCCATTTCCGCAGCCAACATCGACGAAACGAGGCATAGGTGCGGTGTTTCGCCATAAACACTAAGATTCGTGTAAATACGGAGCAGTACTAATAGGTATGCGGCTATCCCAATATCTTCATGAATAAACTTCTCCGGATCGGTTCGTTCGCACCAGAACTGCTCAAAACATATAATAAAGCATGAAGAACGACTAAACCGATGCTATCCATTTTGCGTAGCGATCTTTAAGATGCTTATAGCATAACTGGTAACAATTTAAGTCAACGAGCAACAGTGATGGTGGCGAATTGCTAATTTTCTGTGACAACCAGCTGTTTAGTTTCACCTGAAGGACAGTTTTAAGCCAATCGGCACTAAAAAGCCCAGCGCTCCATTCAGTTCGAGGAAACACTTCAAAACACCTAAGGTTGTTACTTGGATTGCAAGCCTACTCGGTTTTGATTATGTCATAGGAAACGTACTTTGAAGTAAACGTCCACATTCCACTAACTAAAAGACGAGTTGAGAGAGACTTAAAAAACCCAACCTGAAGCAGATTCAACTATTTGTTCTTCAAAAGACTCCAAACGAGTGTGAAGTTTTGGGTAGATTGTTCGAACAATTGAACTGTCCGACAGAATTGTAACTCTGGATCCGTATACTTGCTTGTGAATGACGTGTGGCTTATAAATCCACACTTTTAGCACAGAATCCAACATTGTGTATATGGGTAAACCGTGACTGCTTCTACAAAGTGAAGACGAGATCATGATCAAAGTAAAGGCTCTGCGACATGAGGCGCCTTTAATCTGGCATTAGCTAACATAGGGTTCCACCTGCAGGAGCAGTAAATTTTTTGTAGACGTGAAACTTCGGTGATCTTAAAAGTGCCCATTCGTGCAATATTTGGCAGCAGACCACCATACCTGCGTTTACCTCGAACCGCACAGCACATTGTAGTTGAATTTTGAATTCAACCTAACACGAAAGTGTGTGGATACCTTCGTAGAACCGAAAGCCCACGCAGCAGGCGCTAACAGTTGAAGTTACTCAAAAGTATAAAAATATTAGCTAACATACTGGCAAAATACCCGTGGTATTACGTCTCTAGCATCTATTAACCTTCAAAGTAGACGTTTTAATATTTTAGGCGTTTGGAGACGCAGTTCAGACACCCGCAAATCTAATACGACAGAGATAAATAATTTGCAAATGATAGATGAATGGCGCCTGAGTATTTCATGAAAACGTAATGAGAGGGCCACATTAGAGGCCTTACAAGACCATTGTGCACGCTAAATTGTCAAAATTCGGAAGGGTGGAGTGCAACGAACTTACACATTAGAGTCGTGTCATGGTTTCGGAGAGAATAATGCGACTGAAGGAAAGTGATACAGCACACCTCACAGTCACTTCTGAAATCTCAGATTTCAACATACTTTTAGGTAACGCGTTACGTATTAAAGACCCAATAGCTTGCATTAAAAGTTATTTCAAACGAATATAACAGCAAAATGCAGACAAATTGAGCAAAAACATAATGTAATTAAACACATTTAATAAAATCTGCGAGCACTAGGGAGCTGAACATGACAGAAGTAAAGCAAATACACCACGGCCATGGTGAGCTAGACCACGCGACCTTTACAGTTGCACATAACGACTTGAGACCCGAGTTTTGTTTAAAAACAAAAACGCTTGTCCAGTTAGGACAAAGTGGGGATCGCCAAAAATCAATTACAACGCTGAAAAATCCAGGTACTTGTGCAACCACAGCAAATATCTGATTTCTTTTGGAAACTGTGGTTGTCTAATCCAGTGCATCTACTCCGAAATTGAAGCAAATTGCAAGACAGGAAAGTTCGTACCTGAGGTATGGTGTGGTGTGGCGTCGGATTAGGGCGCAGACATGTTGGACCACCTGGCCTCAGCAAATCCTGTGTCTCTCTGCGATCCAATGGCATGCGGGAAAGGAAGGCAGCCAACCAGAGAAGGACATGGATGAGATGCAGTATATAATGAGCGGCGTGGCCAGCGTGGTGGACTCGGATGGAAGGCGCCTGACCCGTGGCTCTGGCTTCTGATTAGTCAATAAAGCCCTGTTCAGTTGTACCAGTCTTTTAT